AAACACACACGCACGACCAACCCCTTCCTCACGCCCCCACCAAAAAACTCAAAACATTATTGGGACCGCAAAAAAACAAAGTCTAAATTTCACGTGTTGATTTTGTGTGCCATGCACACCAGCCAGCCCGCCATTCGCCGCCTTGAATAGATAAATGATGGGTTGGTTGGTCTGATGATGAGTCGTCATGAATGAGGTTTCTGTTTATCCTCCGCCCCCTTCCATTGTCGTGTCGATAATGATGGTGATCATCTCTTCTCTACGTTTCGTCACTTTATGCTACGTGAGTGTGTGCGGGGACCATCATAAAGCCAATGATGTTGGTGTTGCTTATATCTGATTTGTTGCTTTATTATTATTAGTATGTTGTTGCTGTTGTTTTTGTTGTCTGTGTGTCTTGTTTTTGTTTCAGTTGTTATGTCTGTTGTGCTAAATAATGCGATTATGACCTCTTTGTAGGTCATTGTAAAGCTGAATAAGAAATATGATGAACAACAACAAAAAATAGAAAAACAGAAACATCAAAAAGCCCAAAAATCACCGTCGGATGAGAACAACAAACGAAATTTCATATCAAAACAAAAAATTGGCAAAATTGCAAATTATAATATGGGCACATAAGTCGGATTATACTGACCCAATGGGAGGGGGATCTATTATATGTGGAGAGACCCGTTTTCATAAATATAATATCTAATTATGTTTCTGAGAAGCCGAATTTGATTTCCCCTCGTTACTTCTACGACACCCCAATGAACATTATTTTCTGAATCTAAGTTCGTCGAAACCTCAAGTCCACATCATCAAAATCTAAACTTCATGTGGTAACAAAAACATTTATTGATTCCCTTCCAAACCACTGTACCACATTCAAAATAATACCGTCAATTGATGGTGAGAGAATTTTTTCTTTATACCTTCTACTTTGTTGTCGAATTTCCTGCTATTTATATCAGCTTTTCGGATTACACCTCCATTTTTGGCAAATCATAAATTATGTCTAAAAAAATGCTTGTGAAAAGAACATCAAAAAGTAACAACAACAACTAATTTTCAAAACATCAATGATTTTGGTAATTTGTCTAAGAACCAAAATGGCCGGCCAGTAAACTTTAAAGGGGCTAATATTTGTAGTTTTTTTCATTTTGATTTTTGGTTTCCCATGTGCACTGGTTGATGGGATCAAGCTGTGTGGTAATTGATGAGCTTTGCTGGCCATTATGAATTTTCGTGGTGATGAATTCCGCAAACTCTAATTAGAGAAGGATATGCGATATTGAAATGAATCGCCTACTTTTTTCTCAGGTCAGATTTCCGAGACCTACTTTTTCTACAGAAAAAAATATTAAGGTTCCTGAGGTATTATTTTCCTGTAAGAAAAAATTCACGTCATAAGAATTACTTCTCTAACTAAAAAATCAAGTCGGATCTACTGAGATTTTATTTTTCTTTAGAAACAAATTCGTTAGGTCCCCTGAGGTATTTTTTCCATAGAAAAAAAATCGTCAGGTCCCCTGAGATGTTTTTTTGGTATAGAAAAAAAAATCCAGTCAGGTCCCCTGAGGTGTTTCCTATAGGAAAAAATTCACGTCTGAGGTGTTTTTCCTATAGAAAAAAATTCACGTCAGTTCCCCTGAGGTGTTTTTGCTATATAATAAAATTCACGTCAGGTCGCCTGAGGTGTTTTTTTCCATAGAAAAAAATTCGCCAGGTTCCCTGAGGTGTTTTTTCTATAGAAAAAAATTCGCCAGGTCCCCTGAGGTGTTTTTTTCTATAGAAAAAAATTCGCCAGGTCCCCTGAGGTGTTTTTTTCTATAGAAAAAAAAATCGCCAGGTCCCCTGAGGTGTTTTTTTCTATTGAAAAAAATTCGCCAGGTCCCCTGAGGTATTTTTTGTATAGAAAAAAATTCGTCAGGTCCTCTGAGGTATTTTTTTCTATAGAAAAAAAAAATTCATCAGATCCCCTGAGGTGTTTTTTTTTCTATAGAAAACAAATTCACGGCAGGTCCCCTGAGCTGTTTTTTCCTATAGAAAAAAATTCGTCAGGTCCCCTGAGGTGTTTTTTTCCTATAGAAAAAAATTCGTCAGGTCCCCTGAGGTGTTTTTTTCCTATAGAAAAAAATTCGTCAGGTCCCCTGAGGTGTTTTTTTCTATAGAAAACTGTTTTTTATAGAAAAAATCGTCAGGTTCCCAGAGGCCTTGATTTTTTCGGTATAAATATTTCAAATTTATTTGTAAATATTGCTTATCTTTAATATGATTTAGAAAAATTCGTTTTAGATTAGCATAACTCGTTTGGGTTGGCCTAAAGAATTGTGTTTAATTTGCAATTTGTGGCTTTCAATGTTACTCTTTTTTTTAGCACGTCATAAAACGTATAACAAATTAAATTAATGTTGTTGTTTATTTTTCGCCAATAAAATTGATTAATAAATTTATAAATTCAAATCGTATATCGAAGATTTGCATTATAAAGAAATTAAAAAAACAGGTAAAGATTTTTTTCTAAAACTTGGCGCCAGTCTCCGCTGAGGATTTGAAATTCCCTTGAATGAAATCGCAAAACAAATTAACATACATTGTTAATAATGAGCTTGTTATGGTGATTTTGAAAACCAAGAAGAAAAAGAAGAAGCTGAAGCAGAATAAACAACAGATATTAATTTATATTGTCAAATTTTCTGAAGTCCGGTTATCATAATAGCCTGACCTGCTGTTGACGTTACAAATCAATATTTTTTGTTTCTTGGGTGTGCGTTTCAATTTATCAATTGATTAAAGATTCAAATTGTGGTGACTGGCTTTACGACGAGATATGAATAACAAAATTTCTTTTCAATTCTCATTAAGTCCACATTTGAGACTTGTTAAATTAATCCCCTCTCCTGACTGGCGCCATAATTTGCATAAATATTAAATTTCGAACAATAATCGTATTTACTAGCGTATTATTAATTGTCTCTGTCAAGCATGTGATTTATTAAAAAAAAATTGAGATCCCAAAAAAAATCCACAAAAATCTCCATAATTCAATAGAAAAAATCCCCAGTTCACTAGCCATTCAATAGGAAAAACATAAATTGCTCATAATTGTAGCATATTTTTAGGCAATTTTTGTTTTTAAACTTAAAGTCAGCTGATATTTTATTTGCCAATCAAATATGAGTCCATAGTTTCCAAATTCTTTCAAATTTAATTAAATTGAAAATACCATGGCATTTGTATATCTAAATAACCTCAGCGGGGTCCAATATTGTTCTTGTGTTCATGCCAGCTGGAGCCATGCAATATTTTTCACGGCAGGCTAAACAAAGATAATGGAATTTAATTTAACAAACTTTAAAGGCCTTTATTTCGTTTTCTTCCAGTTCGTTTAATATGTTTACATAATTTTGAGGGCAAATCGCAGCATATTTATACATGAATTGAGAACAAGTGGGGCATAGCTTTAGGCGAGAAATAAAATTAATTTGTAATGTATGCAAAACTAAATATAATGAGAGCAGATATTGTGATAAAAATATTTAAAATTTAAAGTATACTTTTAGGATCTGGCGAATCTATTTTCCTCGATTTTGAAAAAAATCTCCTCAGGGGACCTGACGAATTTTTTTCTATTGAAAAAAAAATCTCCTCAGGTGACCTGACGATTTTTTTATAGAAAAAAATACCTCAGGGGACCTGACGAATTTTTATCTATAGCAAAAAATCTCCTCAGGGGACCTGACGATTTTTTTCTATGGAAAAAAATCTCCTCAGGGGACCGGAACAATTTTTTCCTATGGAAAAAAATCTCCTCAGGGGACCTGACGAATTTTTTTCCTATGGAAAAAAAATCTCCTCAGGGGACCTGACGAATTTTTTTCTATGGAAAAAAATCTCCTCAGGGGACCTGACGAATTTTTTTCTATGGAAAAAATTTCCTCAGGGGACCTGAATTTTTTTTCTATAGCAAAAAATCTCCTCAGGGGATCTGACGAATTTTTTTTCTGTAGGAAATTTTTTTCTGACGAATTTTTTTCTAAAGGAAAAAACACCTCAGGGACCTGACGAATTTTTTTCTATAGGAAAAAAACACCTCAGGGGACCTGACGAATATTTTTCTATAGGAAAAAAACCTCAGGGGACCTGACGAATTTTTTCTATAGGAAAAAACGCCTCAGGGGGGCTGACGAATTTCTATAGGAAAAAACCCCTCAGTGGGCCTGACGAATTTTTTCCTGTAGCAAAAAACTCCTCAGGGGACTTGGCGAATTTTTTTCTATAGCAAAAAATCTCCTCAGGGGACCTGACGAATTTTTTTCCATGGAAAAAATACCTCAGGGGATCTGAGGAATTTTTTTCTATAGGAAAATAAATACCTCAGGGGTCCTGACGATTTTTTTATAGAAAAAAAAACACCTCAGGTGACCTCACGAATTTTTTTATAGGAAAAAAATACCGCAGGGAACCTGACGATGGAAAGGAATTAATATACAAAATTTAAAGCATACTTTTAGGCACTTGGATTGTGAAATGAAATCTAAACATCTGTTACATAATGTTGTTGAAATTACATAATAAATATTTTCCTCAATTATGTGGCTTATTGAATCAATCTACTTCCAGGTCAATGCACATTGCTTTATTACTTGTTAAAATGCAGTGCATACTTTTAGGCAACAATTGTGAAATTAATGTAAAACATATAAATTAGCACAATAATGTCGGACAATGCGGCCTGTTGGTCATATAAATATTTACAAATATTAAAAATGTATGCTCTCATGCAATTTTCATGTCAGAGAAGATGGCACATGTTATAATTAACTTCCGCTCCAGCTCCCCCTTTCAAAAAATTCCAACTAGGATCTCAATGTTAGGAAACAATAAAATTCAATTATTTCAAAAAAATCCCCAAGGGCAAAACAGAAAACAACAACTACGGCAACTAGTCATCCGGATAATGGCAATTCATTTTCGAAAGCAATTCGAACAGTTAGCTGCTGTCCATCGTCAATATGAAATGTAATGAATATGTTCGCAAAACATTGGGTGAATCGAGTATCCATGGCTTCCCCTATTTGGTTAAACGGGAGCTACACTGGATGGAGAAGTTATTTTGGATTTTAATGATTGCCCTGGCCGCCTACACCTCCATCGATATTTGCCTAAATCAATGGAAACGTTTCCGAGACAACCCAATTGTTTATGCCATGGAATTGGCCTGGGGTAAATCGAATTTCCCCTTTGTTGGCATAACCCTGTGTTCCGATTATGTCGATCATCATGAATTTGAACATTTAATAGAGGATATGTGGCATTTGGAAAATGAAGCGAACAAGAGTGCTTATAATTATTATTGGGATTTTCTGAAAGTTCTGAATAGTTTACATCTTACGAATATGGGGAATTTGAAGCCGTATGAAAACGATTCGAGGCTAAATGATTTGAATTTTTTGCAAATGTTAGTGAGGGTAAGTAGAAATGGGAAAAATGTATTCTCCCTTCTTAACAAATTTAAATCCCTCAGCTGCGTCAACAAATCCTGCCCGAAAAGGTCTTGGCCAACACTGAAGAAGCGACAACATCTTCAGATACTGAAGTTCGTGAAATGGCCTATGCAGCTGCGGTAACTGAGGCTGGTCTATGTCGTACCACGTCGCAATTGACCAAATATACAAATCCCTTTGGAGATTTGTGAGTATAAGCCACCTAAGGATGTTTTTTTTTTTAATAGAAAAGAAATGTCAGGTCCCCTGAGGTGTTTTTTCCTATAGGAAAAAATTCACGTCAGGTCCCCTGAGGTGTTTTTTCCTATAGAAAAAAATTCACGTCAGGTCCCCTGAGGTGTTTTTTCCTATAGATAAAAATTCACGTCAGGTGCCCAGAAGTGTTTCTTTTCCTATAGGAAAAAATTCGTCAGGTCCCCTGAGGTGCTTTTTTTCCTATAGAAAAAAAATCGTCAGGTCTCCTGAGGTGTTTTTTTCCTATAGAAAAAAATTCGTCAGGTCTCCTGAGGTGTTTTTTTTTTCCTATAGAAAAAATTCGTCAGGTCTCCTGAGGTGTTTTTTTCCTATAGAAAAAAAATCGTCAGGTCTCCTGAAGTGTTTTTTCCATAGAAAAAGAATCGTCAGGTCCCCTGAGGGGTTTTTTTCCTATAGAACTAAATCGTCAGGTCCCCTGAGGTGTTTTTTTTTTCTTATAAAAAAACGTTTGATGTGTTTTTTCCTATAGGAAAAAATTCGTCAGGTCCCCTGAGGTGCTTTTTTTCCTATAGAAAAAAATTCGTCAGGTCTCCTGAGGTGTTTTTTTTCCTATAAAAAAAAATCGTCAGGTCTCCTGAGGTGTTTTTTTCCTATAGAAAAAAAAATCGTCAGGTCTCCTGAGCTGTTTTTTTTTTCCTATAGAAAAAAATTCGTCAGGTCTCCTGAGGTGTTTTTTCCTATAGAAAAAAATTCACGTCAGGTTCCCAGAGGTGTTTTTTCCTATAGAAAAAAATTCACGTCAGGTTCCCTGAGGTGTTTCTTTTCCTATAGAAAAAAATTCGTCAGGTCCCCTGAGGTGTTTTTTTCCATAAAAAAAATCTTCAGGTCCCCTGAGGTTTTTTTCCTATAGAAAAATTTCGTCAGGTCCCTTGAGGTATTTTTTGTTATAGAAAAAAAATTCGTCAGGTCCCCTGAGGTGTTTTTTGCTATAGAAAAAAAATTCGTCAGGTCCCCTGAGGTGGTTTTTTCCATAGAAAAAAAAATCGTCAGGTCCCCTGAGGTATTTTTTCCATGGAAAAAAATCGTCAGGTCCCCTGAGGTGTTTTTTTCAATACAAAATAAATCGTCAGGTCCCCTGAGGTGTTTTTTCCTATAGAAAAAAAATCATGTCAGGTCCCCTGAGGTGTTTTTTTTTTCATAGAAAAAAATCGTCAGGTCCCCTGAGGGGTTTTTTTCTTAGAAAAAAAATCGTCAGGTTCCCTGAGGTATTTTTCCTATAGAAAAAAATTCACGTCAGGTCCCCTGGGGTGTTTTTTCCTATAGAAAAAAATTCACGTCAGGTCCCCTGAGGTGTTTTTTCCTATAGAAAAAAAAATTCACATCAGGTCCCCTGAGGTGTTTTTTCCTATAGAAAAAATTCACATCAGGTCCCCAGAGGTGTTTTTTCTTATAGAAAAAAATTGTTAATTTTTCAGAAAAGCTTTGAAGGTCTCAAATCGCCGTTACTGTGACATTATGAATGAATGCAATACAAAGATATATCCCAAGGTGTCGGATGATACTAATTTATATATTGTAAGGATAATAAATTATTGAAAATTCCGACTAAAATTTCTTCATTCAAGTACCTCCATAATGTGGAAGATGTATTGGTCCCCCTGGATCCTGGCACCATATTAAGGCGTGCCAGCATGGATGGCTCTCTGACCATTGAGTTACTGCTCTCCTTAACCACTTCTGAGACGGAGGTGCGCAATCTACCCATAGCCTATAGAAAATGCCGTTATAAGGATGAGAATATTTTGAAATATTTCGAGGTAAAAGAATTTTAATAGGAATTCCCCTTTTAAAGAATTGAACCTCACCTTTCAGATCTATCGCCCTGGCCTTTGCCGCATTGAATGCCGCATCAATGCCGCCTTTGCAAAATGTGGCTGTAAACCATTCTTTTATGTGGTGGCCCCGCACATTCCCGTTTGCGACATCAAAGGCATGTTGTGTCTGAGCAAAGAAAATTGGCCCCATTCGGTTAAATGTAATTGCCTCAAGCTGTGTCAGGAGGCCGAGTATATTGGTGTGCAAACTACCTTGCAAAAAGATGTAATTATAACAGAAAGAAGTTGACCTGAGGCTAAGAAGACAAAGAAATAACCTTGAAATGAAATTTGCTTTGTTTGTTTACTCCCCCCTTTCATGCTGCCCCTTCGATAGGACTCAACGAAATTTGAACGAACCATAATTGTGAAATTATTTTTGCCACGTATGGCCATGAAACGCCGTGTGGTGTTTAGTACCGATCAGCTGATGATGTCCTTTGGCGGAGCGATTGGTTTATTTTTGGGTGCCAGTTTTATTAGCATCTATGGTTTGGTCTTTGTCCTGAGTGAATTTGTATTCTCCAATTGTGTATCGTTGGTGAAACGGGAGAAGAAGGAGGAAAGAAAACGTAGGAAAATTGAGGATGCGGTGGTTCATAGCCACATAACTGTGGTTGGCCAGCGATATTAAATTTCCCAAAATTAGAAATGAGAAAATTAAATTTAGAAAGTTAATTGGTGGCATAAAAACAGGTATATAAAAATAAACATTGCCTACATTTAGGCGTTTCAAATGTCTAACACATATTAAGGCATGCTTTTAGGCGTTATGTGTAAAAATAAATATCTAAAAATAGATTGCTTGCTTTGAAATAAATGCGCAGAACTTGCTATCATTTAATTATTTCTTTAAAGAAAAAAATCGGCAGGTCCCCCATAGAAAAAAAAATTCGTCAGGTCCCCTGAGGTATTTTTTGCAATAGAAAAAAATTCGTCAGGTCCCCTGAGGTGTTTTTTGCAATAGAAAAAATTCGTCAGGTCCCCTGAGGTGCTTTTTGCAATAGAAAAAAATTCGTCAGGTCCCCTGAGGTGTTTTTGTTGCGATAAAAATACAACACTACAACTCAAATGTACTAAAAACCAGTATTATTTTGTAAACATGAAATTTGACATATGATTGATTGTAAGTCATACTTATTCTTTCCGGTTTAAATATCTTTCTTCTCTTGCCACAAGTCGTAAGATATAGACCTATACTTAAATAAACTCTTGAATTCAAACAACTTGTCTTTTACTTTGTTTCACGCATATTCCATAAAGGAAATTTATCATATATCCCTAACAAAGGTTATGGGCCCAGTGATACAAACTTAAAGAAGTTGTTTAGGTTGAATTCATTTGGAATTTATTCGGTTTTTTATTGTTTTACCCGGTGTTAAAAAACGTAAGGAAAATGTCAAGTTCAATTGCGAGTATTGAGAAGTTAAACGGAGACAATTACGGATCATGGTGTATCCAGGTAAAAAGTTTGCTGATCACGTTGGATCTATGGAATACTGTGACGGAAGAGTGCCCTGGGCATGATCCGCAAAAGTCTGTTTGGATGAATAACGACAGGAAGGCCCTTGCTACAATCACCTTGTGTGTTAAGCCCAGCGAGTTGATTCACATAAAAAATTCACTTACCGCCAAGAGTGCGTGGAATGCCTTAAGTTCAATATACAATGCATGTACAGCATCCAGGAAAGTACAGTTGTTTAAGAAGCTGGTTCGTTTCAATGTAAAGTTCAGTGAGAAGTTTGGTCCACAAATTAATGATTTTTGTTCCACCGTTGATGAGTTGAAGGAAATTGGAGTCATTTTGAATAAAGAACTTCTAAGTGTTTTGCTCCTATGTTGTTTGCCAGATGAAATGGAAAATTTTGTCGTTGCGATTGAATGTCGTGATACATTGCCAACGTACGACAACTTAGTTTCAAAAATATTAGAAGAAGAGATGAGGCAAGGAGACAAAAATAAATCACGTGGTTCTGAGACTGTTTTTGCGGCGAATTCAAAACACGAGCATAAAGCAAACAAAATAAATCGCAATAACTATAATGGATTTAAAGGTGGAGGGAGTAATGTGGATGGAAACAACAAAGGCAAAATGTATACCAACAACAACATAAAATGTTTTCGTTGTGGGAGAAGAGGTCACATACGATCTCAGTGTATGAGAAATGACAAAAGAGACGAAGATTATGCTTGTTCTTTATATGAAGGCGAGACAAACTTAAGAGAGCTGTGGGTTTTGGACAGCGGCGCGACTTCACATATGTGTAGGAGAAAAGAGCTGTTCGGTACGTTGAGAGAAACAAAACAGAGTATAATATTGGCATCGGGAGAGACAATTTACGCTGAAGGTGTTGGTGATATCACACTCAAAACTCAGTCGTCAACTCTCACTCTATACAATGTTTGGTATGTTCCTCATTTACACTCAAATTTTATCTCAATAACCAAAGTTATCAAAGCTGGTCACTCAGTTGTGTTTGAAGGCAGTACGGCGAAAATGATGAGTAAAGACAACAAAATTATTTTAACAGCTGATTTAAATAGTGGAATGTTTGTTGTGAAGCTGAAAGTTATAAAGAAAATGGAAAGAATTAATTCATTGAAGGATGATATCGTGACACGTAAATGGCACCACAGATTGGGTCATTTGAATCTAAACGATTTAAGTAAGTTATCGGTGAAAAATATGGTTAAAGGTCTACCATCGAATATATCAAAAAGCAAGAGCTGTATGACGTGCGCAGTGTGTAAAATATCGGCAGTTCCATATAAAAATTATGCAGGTGTACAAAGTGGTGATATTTTGGAAATAATACACACTGATGTTTGCGGGCCGATGGGAACAAAATCGTTAGGTGGTTCATCATACTTTATTACGTTTATTGATGATTATTCACGATACATCTCTACGTATTTTCTCAAACATAAATCAGATGCATTTGAAGCATTCTGTAATTTTGCTGCGATTGCGGAGAAGCAGACAGGCCGCCGAATAAAAATTGTCCGGAGTGATAATGGATCGGAATATGTAAATTCCGAATTTAAGCAATATTTCTCATCCAAAGGAATTATACATCAAACAACGGTTTGCTATTCACCCCAGCAAAATGGTGTATCCGAGA